TGTCTGGAGGTGTAGGCACCTCGGAATGATTGTGTTAAGCTAGCACTAAGTCCCTCCCCCGTCCACCTTTACTCTTTTCTTTACAATAAGGCTTTCAAATAAGTCATGGTTGTACGGCAGTGAAGCATCGGTCTTGAACACTGATGTCATGCTGTCGATGACGATGATGATCAACAGAGCGCTTGGACTCAACATTTCGTTGCACAAACCAGATATCGCGCAGAAAGACACTTCGTTAATGAGGTAACAATTAACGCTCCACTGGAACATAGCGACCACTGTGTGCTGACCTTTGGTTTCATCTGCTATTGGGCTATTGGTTTCGAAACTTCTGCCGTGCATACTTCTCAGGAATGCGCATCTTTCTTAAATAAGTTAAACTGAGACCAGCTTTAGTGGAAGACCTATATAAGACTATTGTCCAGAAGGTTCAAGAGGCTGACACGATGTTCGTCCCAAAAAAATATCAGTACGCAGTAAATCAACCACAGACTGCCTAAAAGGATCTGGCGTCTTCTGGAAGAGGTCTCAACTTTTTTCAAAAAGATGACTACAGGAGACACAGATGAGCTGGCATTTCATGAAATTCAGAACCGCTGGGGCCCCACGAAGTCCATCCAAAGATCCTGAAGGAAACGTCGTCTACATTGGCAAATCACTTATACCTGGTGTTTCGTCAGCTGTTTGACAAAGGCTACATTCTCTCTCCTTGGAAGGAAGCGATTGCCACGCCAATCTACAAAACTGGTGACCGACTATCTCCTGGGAGCTACAGGCCCATAAGCCTCAATAGCGTGCCGCGCAAGGTGATGGAACGCATTCTGAGGCGAGCTATCCTAGATCACCTTACTTCCAGCAACCTGATATCTCCAGCTCAACACGGATTTCTCCCAAACCGATCTGAATGACGAAGAGTGCGCAATCCCCACTACCCGCAAATCACCCGGTCATGCCCCAGCCTGACTGTAAACGCATGATCATGCCAGATGGTATACCGCTCACAAGTTGGGAATAAACATTATTATTATTATTTGGAGGAGACCCAGCGAATGCCTTTGTTATGCATGGTGAGAAAGGACCAGAAAAATTCATGAGGACAGACGCCAAAAAAGATTTGGGTACCCGACTCTCCTCAAAATTGTCCTTCTCACTGCGTTATGAGAAATCGCCCCAAATGCATTCGCCATTTCACGGATGACTCGGTGCACCTTCTCCCGAATTTCCAAATACTCTATAGGTCCTAGGTCAGACCGCTCCAACGCCAACCAAGTTGTCTACTCAGGACGCACAGAAGACACCCTCACTGAGTGTCCAGCGAACCACTACAAGAATGGTTACGGGCCTCAAATTTGTGGACTACGGAACGCGTCTCGCGGTGCTTGACCCATTTCCAATGGAGTACCGTCGCCTCCGGTGGGACCTAATTCTCACTTATGCCGTTTGAACAAAGCTTGACCAACAGGTTTTTCACCGTTGACCCAGCAAACACACGGCGGGAATGTAGCAAGAAAATTTTCAAGCTCATAGCACACACATTCACGAGGCAATTTTTTCTCATTTCGGGTAGTAGCTGTGTGGAATAACCTTCCTTCGACGGTTGTCCACGCTCCTTCTGGAACCCAGTTCAAAGCACTATTAGACAATTATTTATGCGAGTCCTCAGCTGGCAAGCATAATACCCCGCGCTGAGGACATAAAGAGTAGTGCGATCCCCCTTTTTTCGTTTGTGCCTTTCAGGTGAACGGCGGCCGCTGGACGACAAGAACAAAACCGACCCGGGAGTCTTGGCCAAGAGCCTCAATCCGTGAAAAAATTAGGCACCAGCGATGCAACAGGAACACATCATTACAACCTAAACAAAAACGTCCACCTACCATAGGAAATCGATACCGTGGACGCATAGCTGAAGACTTCGGATCACGTCCGGTGCTCACGAGTTGGAAGTTAGTATCGTCTTCGTCGTGTATGTATGCGTACTGAGCACCAGAAAATTGCGACAAATAGCGTCCTTCAAAGAAGAATCTATTATGAAACGGGGTATATACCTTTTGATTTCATATCCTGATACAGGCTACCTGACCAATCGGCAACCTAAAAAGGGTGAACACTCTAAACGGACTAGAAATTATCGCCTACCCTCCCCAGCCGGAAATCTTTAGCAAATGGTTGATACGGCATATTTTCGTACTCCTTCGGAATTTCCACTGGGCCCCATCCTGTTGGATTTTCATGTAGACTAAGGGTACCAAAGGCTGGCAAGTGTGACTCATTGGTGAGCATCGTGCCGATTCGAAAAAGCCGGTCTATTTTAAGGTCACCTAACTGACACAACTGCTGCATGGTTGAGCAGGATAAAGGTTCAGAGACGAAAAAGAAGGCAAAAGCATCAAGCATTATTTGAACGGCTACCAATTACGGTCACACATTTGGGTTAAGTACCTCGAAGAGGAGAGAGAGCGAATGCTGGCCCACCATGCTCCAGATCGCTCTTGTAGTGTCTGTAATCCGTTGTCACATTTACCGTTCTTCCTGAACTTAAACCACACTTTGTAACTGTCGTTCACATTGTATCATGACGTTTGTTTTAATGTTACGAATACACGATTTTCCGGCGCCACCTGCTGACTTCTTGCTGGACGACTGTATTTACGCCCGTTGAACTGTTTGTTGACTGTTGAACCAGTGGGACTAAATCTCTGTGTTTGTGTCAACTGTTAAACGTCACAATAAATCCCTGTGACATTTTTTTAGCCGTGAATAATTTTCCTACCGTGGAATGTATCACTCACACGGAACCATCTGCAGGAAATCTCGACGAATGAATATTTTCCTTTCACACCCAGTTACTGCATTCGGATCGGTGTAGTGGACTACTGGACCTACGCATTCGTGAGTCCCCATTTGACTACTCATTCCTTTCCTATTGTGATTTTTGTGATTTTGCGTTGGTTACTTTTGCTTGTTAATTTATCCGAACACGCTGATTAGGTCCTAGTCCGCTACACTCTTAACAGAACCCATTTCGAACCACTACTAGAAAATACTTGCGCTGGCAAACATACTAACCCGCGCTGAGAACATAAAGAGCAGTGCAACACACTCTTTTCACATGTGCCTCTCGGGTGAACGACAACCGCTGAACGACAAGAACAAAGCCGATCCAGGAATCTTGGCAAAAAGCCTCGATCCTGTATATCAATCCGTGAATCCGTGAGTTTGTTGTCACCAGCCCGTGGGACCGACTAAAGCCGAGCAGGTTCTTGAGTGGTGTTAAGTGGTTAGGTGCATGTTTTGGGCTCATGCGTTCCCGCATTAATACACGGGAATGAGCTAAGCATAAGATTCCCAGGTGCGGCTTCGCCTTGTTGCACATGGGATTCTGCTCATTTCAAGGCGCAACCGTTTATGGTTGCAGCACATATATATAACGAAACAGTTTCGAAAAGCGAAGCCACGTATACAAGTTCACCGAAAAGTCAAAAAGCGTGCCGTGTATAAATGACGTCACCGGTGTTAAACCTTATTTTAAAAAATGAACTGCTGCGGTCTTAAAAAGTTCAGGCAAGGAACCAGAAGCCACCCAATAAACTCCGGAGAGGTTCATGCTCAAAAGATCTGAGGCCAGGTGCCGTTCTCTCAGCAACTCGTTTGGCAAGCTCGATGAAGGCCTCGGCCCTCTTGCGTCTCCAATAGGCAACTTGGTTATGGCATTCACAAGGTGGCATGATGTAGTCCCCAGAGGGTTCCCGGAAGACTGCGAGTAATACGGGACAAGCTGCGCTGAATCATCCGAAGTACGACGAATGCCCTCCGAGCCGATCTTCTCCGATTCATTATGAAGGAAATGCTTGAACTGGACCAGATAACAAGGTGGTTTTCCTATCTAGCTTCGTTGTATTTTCTCGTCCGCCCTCACCAATTCGTGACAAAAGCGTTTGCCGAGCTTCTCTAAACAATAAATAAGGGTCTTTTTGTTATCCAGAGCAAGGTGTCAGTCTGGTGGCCACTAGTTTGCAGTTTCGGCAGTAAATCGGGGTGCCCTGGGGTTGGGTCTGTAGGGTTTGAAATTGTCAACAAAAAGTATGTATGGACCCGAAATCATACCCGGAAGAATATTGATATAGACCAGAAGGAAGAGCAGTCCAGCGATGCAGCCTGAGAGAACTTCAATGCAGACCGGTGCAGGAGAAGAGTAAGTTGAGCCGACTTTTATGCAGAATATTCCACTCGGAAGAGAAAAATTCATTCGGTATATGATTTTTCTGTGTTCGTAGAACAATGGAACGTGTGGTACTCGATCGGATGCTCTTTATTAGCTAGAAAATACGGCTTTCGGTGTCAATCCTTTGTTTTTGGTTTGTGTTAAACTATCCACAGACACGGGCATATCCGTCAAGCAAAAACCGTTTGGTAGCGCGTGGGTTGCATTTGGGATCTCAGTGAGCTCTCACGAGGTTATCTAGGGTGATGCGAATTAGGATGCGTTTCATGGCCTTTCATCGCACGAAGTGATGGAAAATTTCGTGGAATTCGGTCAATGTCCTGTCGAAGTTTGGTGCAGGATCTACGGCTTTGCGGATTGATACACAGGATTGTGGCATTCGTTCCAGCTTACTGGGACGGGCTCGTTCTTGCCGTTCAGCGGCTTTCGTCCACCCGGATGCACAAGCGGAAAAATAGTGTAGCACTGTTCTTTAAGTTCCCAGCACAGGACGGTAAACCTCCAGCGCAAGGACTCAGATAAGAATCTTCTAAAAGTGCCTTGAAACGGGTACCAGATGAAGCACGAACAGCCGTTGGAAAAGGGTTATTCCATGCATCAACTACCTGAAATAGAAAAAATGTCGAATAGTGAAAGCGCTTGAAATTATTCACACGATGTCCCCGCTGTGTGTGAGTTAGGTCCAAGCTATAAATCCCGTCGGTAAACCCTTTCCAAGCGGGGCATGTGTGAGTATTAGACCTCTGGGAGAAAGAGGTCAAGACGCGTTACATGGCTTACGGAATTAAGGCTTGCAACCATTTTCGGAGAAACTCGACCAGGTTTACGTGCTTATTGCGTTTGAGCAAACAACTCGGTTGGTATATTCAAGAAGCAACTTGTCTTAGACCTCGTAATGTACCTGAAAGTCCGTGGGGGTATTGCGGTGGAAGGCGTCTTGAAGCATCCGTAGAATGGGCCCATTTCTCATAGAGCACTGAGGGCATGCTTGAAGGGAGCCAGTTACCAAAATCATTTTTGGTACCCATCCTTTTGTTGCCTTCAGGCCCACTCTCACCATGCAGGAAAAGGAGCCCGCTGAGTCACCTCCGAATAACATATTGATGCATATTTCGTCATTTAGAGGAAGGTGCAAGTCCTACGACTACCACTTTGCAGCGTCTACATCCATTTGGTGGGCGCTGGCGTTGAAAATCCAGGATGTCAAGCCGTCCGCGAAAGGCGGAGATGGACTTGAAAAAAGTTTTCCCTCGGTTACCGCACAGTGTCCTATATGATATCCCCTCAAGCTCACTGGGCCTTACAGTTCTTATTCCATTCCCTCATTTTTTCCACCTTCTACCCTGTTCAACGCCTGATATGGAAGCCCCGTTAGGTATTTCAATGGGTGATAATGAAGGGCTAGGGGCCGCGTATCTCCACAAATGAACCAGCAGCGATCCTTTAAAAGGGGTGGTGCAACTCGAAACACAAACTGCGCAGAATTTCCTCCAACAAAATGACGTTGAGCAGTTTTGCGCTCGATACTTACGAGCATCCAAAGCTCCCGACCCCCTTTAGAATCTTCCTGCTACTGCACTTCCGAATACCTCGAATGAGGATAGCGCTGAAAGGAAAATGAACAAATTGGTGGATGTCCAGCAAACTCCGACCAATAAGATGAACGTATCAGGTGGTTGCTTTGAGGACTTTGAAAAATTCTTAAGTAGCAACCAATCCAAGTTACTAAGTACCGGACTTTGAGAATTTATTCCGATCAAGTTTGGGGTTCCATTTGAGATGACATTTGCATTGCCGTTTAAGTACACGGGTTGATTAGCGCCATGCACAATTTACCAAAATCAGCCGACGCAACATGAGAAGGCATAGCGTGGGGAGGTGTTATAAAGATGGATGTTGACACGACGGAATAAATTAACGAATGACATGATCTTGGACAATAGCTAGAGCTCGGTACGTCAAGGTGAACAATCTGGCGAATATTTGCTCGAAAATGTAAGTATTTACGAGACCGACTAGAAGCCTGTTTCAGGAAGGGATCACAATTTTCGAAAAAATTCCACGCAACATATCGTAGGTCCTTTATGCACCGAAGCATTACATTTATGATCTGTGAGATTATTAATTCTGAAAAGGTGGCGTGAAAATTTTATAACCCTACCCTTTGGATTCAGGGCGTTAAATTTTTCATACCGCTAATATTTGCCCCAGGATCATTAAGTTTTGGAGGATGTTTCAATGAAAGAAGTGTAAATAGTTACACCAGGAAAATTCATGCAACAGCGGACAGGACTTTCTTGCAGTTAGCTCAAAATAAGAAACTGTGCCAACGCAAATAATGCACAGTTAAAATTTGCGTTCAGTTTCAACAAATATAGCTGTTCAAAGGCCTCCTTGATGGATGCATAATAAATAGATTTTTGACCGGCGTTGAAATGAAAAAAACTGTAAACTAATTCAACCAACCGTAGGATTAATACTTCACATCAGAGGCTTGGCATGACAGCTCTAGCAGTTTTGTACGTTTTGTGAGCTATGAAAAGCTCCCCGTATTCCTGCAAGACGACTGCTGATACTGAAGTGGAAGGCTTTCACACCTATCCAAAACCCTTACATTTTTACCATGGCAAACGCTGACTGGGTATTAGGTTATTAAGTTTAACAAAATGTTTGAACAGTTGTAGGCCTGCTTGCTCCTGAGGGGACGTGCTCACGATCGTCATCTAGTGTTTGAATGCAGAGCAGCCTCATTATAACTTCGGTTATCGGACACTTTTGGCCATGTCTGATTGTTGTCAATCTGAATAAGGTTCTATTATGACGGCGACTAATTAATACTTTGTTCAAACTCAGGTTGTTAATGCGTCTACAGTGAGTGTTTTAGTCGTGTTAAATTTATTACAACACACAGTTATACTCTGTCGTTATTCTGGTCCATACAGTCAGGTGAGTAAATATTCCGGTTTATTATTGACGCTTTGAATGCCCCTTGACAACTGACATCTGGTGAATTAATAACTATTTTATCAATTTTCATCTGTAAGGAACCACTGGACCGTAAACAACCGGTACGTTATTTCTTCAGCCAAAAGTTTGCTGCAGAAGACATTTTTAGACT